TCCACGCTTTGTGTTATTCTGCCCCGTGTTCCAGCCTTAATCGCTGTCCAAGGAAAATAAACACGGTTTGTCTTATGGTGTTGGACTCAGCAGCCGCAAGCAGCAGTCGGATTACAAATGTGAGAGTAACATACGGTCAGGGATAGTTTTAATACAGCAGCTCATTTTGCTGTGCTGGTGCTGGGACAGAACTTTGTGCAGAGATCTCACCAGCTATGTCTCAGGGGGGAGTGGGGTACCACGGATCATTGATAGGGGTGGGGTGGGGGGATCAGAATTAGGCAGACAAAACAGGAGGCTCATGGCCCGGTTATCAAACCGCCAGATATTCAACAAAAGAAAGAAAAAAGGTGAAAAAATAAACAAACTTATGTCAACATATTTTAAGAAAACTTTTAAACCTGACTGCACACCCCTTTGTCTAAATAAAGGCGGACAAACCATAAATTCAGACCAATTAAAATGTCACAGCTCGGTACACCGAGTGTCGGCGTAAATCACGGCGGCCACAGAATACCAAAAATATGAAATGGGCCGGTGGAGGGATGGGCCTCGCTGGCAGGCCGTGGCTGCGGGAAGCTGCGGGGGCGGAGCCTGCGTGATAGAGGCCCGTGGGCCGCTGCGGAAACATAGAGCGCCCTCTTCTCAGGGGCCTTAAATAATTCAGTACCAGCCATGTCAGGCGCCATAAATATTTACCCATTTAGCCGGTCTTTCAGCTCAAATGCAGCTATTAACCATGGGACCAGCCGGATAAATTAGCAATTCAGGTTAAACACCAGGCTCGTTAGCCATGATCTATAGTTGGACGTTGGACTTTATATATAGTGTGTGTTAGTTCTGAGCCTTGGGATGATAGGAAGAGCCCTGAACTGACTGCAGAAATGGCCTGTAGAATTACTCTGCACATGGGCGAGCGTCATTATTTTTCACCAGTGAAGCTGTTTAGGGTCCCTACTATTTATTTTTTTAAGTCCCCTTCCTGCAATTGTTGAGTGTTTTTGTGAGTGTTAATTTTTTGTGCGTTTGTTGGGGGCAGCCCACAATCAGCATTTATACCTGCCTGAGGTGAACTTTTTTGGTGCATAAGTCTCAGAAGTGGTGTTTGCTCACTCTGGGTTGGACAAGCTGTTATTTTACTGAAATAAACCCAAAACAAATTGAGTATTTCGGGCTGTTGTTCAATTTTAGCTTTCAGTGGCGTCAACTCGGACTACCGCTGAGAATCATGTGTGTAACTTTGAAGAAGTGCACCTTGTGATCAAACATGTCAGCTCCAGACACCCCCCCCCCCCTCTCTATCGGAATGCCAGCTGCACCACTGGGAGCGGGTGGGAGTGGGCCGGGGAGGGGTGCCAAATGGGACAACTGACTCTCCCAGAGTCACTGTGTTACAGGCTGTTCGAAGAACTGGGCTCACATCCAAATTCTGTGAGGCGGACATCTTTGGGAGAGACTCTGGGTGGATGCGGGCAGGGCTGCCATGCAGGAGGGGAACATTAGTGATCTGGGTTGAAGGCCCAATATCATTAGCTTTCATGGAGCCGAAAGTCTGCAGGTGTCTCTTGGAAGACGTGTGATTAATCCCGGCATCCGCCAGGAAGGTATTCAAACAGCAGAGGCGTAGCACTCGCTGGCGTCTGTCACGTGAAGTAAACGCCATCTGCTGAGAGATGGGATACCGTGGTGAGAGAGTGTTTAGCCTGAGAGTGTGTTAGACACTCTCTGAGCTCTCAATTCCCATAGCTCCACCCATCGGTGTGACTCGCGTATAGAGATGCCCTCGAAAACACCATCCTTGCGGGCTACGTCTCTCATGGTGACGGACACCTGCATTAGGTTTGTGACAGTTTCCTTCCTGCCTCGATGCCAGCTGGTTTCCATGGAGACGCTTACAGTAAGAAAATGCCAATTACAATGGACGTGTTGTTTCAGATGTTTGGCTTTTTTTTTCCCTCCGCACGCTTGGTTGAAGGGTTCAGACAGTTTAATTGATGACTAATTCTTTGTGCTATTTTACCTTTAGCGGGCAGCTGCCAGGGGGCAATTTTCGCAAGTAGGTCACGCGAGGGGCACTATTTACCATAAATGCCTTAATGATGCACTGCCACCAAGGAACTCCGATTTCCAAAGCTGCGACTATAACTATCAACAGTGAACTGGACTTTAGCCAAAAAAGGCAACACGCAGAAGAAGCAGTCATAACAAACAGATATGTTGCAGACGGCTTTCGGCAACAAGATGCGATTGTAATAAAAAAACACGGGAAAGGAAGTGAGCGCCAAAATGGAAACGCGGGCTGGAAAATGAGTGCATGGAGTGAAAAATTAGGATGTCAACAGTTGAATGGTGCCATTGTTATAATACCTGGCCTCTCCGTGTCGGGGCATGGTACGCGGGAAGCTCTCTCCTGCAGGTCCTGTTCTGCTTCCTGTGATGGAGCCTCGAGACGGAAGTTTTCAGTTTTCAGCCCCAGGGCCGACTGCGCATTGTTAATAAAACACGCAGCTCTCAGTGTCCCTTAATGACCCTCACTACCATAACTTTTAGTTCATTGTCCCATGATGCCCTATGATGGACTGGCATCCTGTCCAGGGTGTCGCCATGCCCAGTGCAGCCTGGGATAGACTCCAGGCTCACCAAGGCCCTGTACAGGAGGAGCGGTTCATTCATTTTGTGAAGATGGATGGATGGATGGATGGATGGCCCTTGGGTGAATTTTGCCTTGATGCAAAACAGTGTTCAATATTGGCTGGTGAAGCACTCCGCACTGTGCTGTGGGAATGTGTCACTATATTCGCTAGTGTCCCTTCTAAGATGGCCAGATGTCAAACTTTGTTACGCATTGAATATTTAAAGCTGTAAACTTTGCGATCCTTTGCCATGGAAGATGGATCGACTCTTTGAGGGTTTCGGGGGGGATCAGTGTCACCATGGCGATGACTGCTGTGACCAAGCAGCGTTTCCTCAGCAGCGTTTCCTCAGCAGCATTTTCTCAGCAGCATTTCCTCAGCAGCGTTCCTCAGCAGCGTTTCCTCAACAGCATTTCCTCAGCAGCGTTCCTCAGCAGCGTTTCCTCAACAGCGTTTCCTCAGCAGCGTTCCTCAGCAGCGTTTCCTCAACAGCGTTTCCTCAACAGCATTTCCTCAGCAGCATTTCCTCAGCAGCGTTTCCTCAGCAGCGTTTCCTCAGCAGCGTTCCTCAGCAGCGTTTCCTCAACAGCGTTTCCTCAGCAACGTTTCCTCAAAAGCGTTTCCTCAGCAGCGTTTCCTCAGCAGCGTTTCTCAGCATCATTTCCTCAGCAGCGTTCCTCAGCAGCATTTCCTCAGCAGCGTTTCTCAGCAGTGTCCCTCAGAAGTGCTCGCTTTGCAGCCCCGGACTCACATAGCTTTGGTCCTTTGGAGGCCACCGCTCTGCCCTGCCCGTCCCACGCTACTCCGCTCCAAGGGGCTCTGCTTACCCCAATCATGTGATGACCTCATGCCCTAAAGCTCCCAAGGGACCCCCGACCAGACCCCCCCCCCCCAACCTGACCCCCTGAGCAGCCCTGCCAGCTCTAGAGTTACTCCAGTGTCATTTCCTGCTATGTCAGTGTGTACATGCAGTGCAATGCGCACATGATCAGCCCCACCCCCCGTCACGGAGAATTCAATCAACATGTTTAAAGTTGCCTAATATGTTTTGCACTGTTATTCCTCAGTGGGAATGCTTATGGATTCAGATTTCAAATAAGTTAAGTGCCAATAACTGAACGGTGATAGAATTCTGGATATGATCATCCTGAAAATACCACCAGTGATGTGTCACAGCAATTTCACTCGTGTTATGCTGTCACTTTTCATCGACCACAAACATCCCTCAGTGTCACCCCCATACACGTGGAAGGAGGTCGCAACTGGAGGCGCATGGAATGCCGGCTGTAATGTCGCAGGAAACGCAGCAGGTAGACGTAGCAGGGTCATGCTCTGGATCAGCTGCCTCTGTAACCTTTGCCCCCCCCCTGTTCCCCCACCCCCCGCCCCAGCGATAAAGAGTCCGGTTACTGGAGATAGGGAGCAGGTGACACAGTGTTTCCTGGACTTTGCGCCCAAGCGATTGCGGAACCCGCCTCTGGATTCAGCAGCTCCACAGGGGGCCCTTAATTACCCCCCCCCCCGCCCTGTACCAAAGGCCGTTCACCCCACTATGTCGTCATGATCTCCACTAATCCCATCACCAGCCACGAGGTTACACTTACACCCCCTTTATAGATTCATCAACAACCAGCCCCACCCCACCATAGCACCCATTCACATAGCTCATCCAGGGCTATATTTGCCACAAATCCACTCCCCCCAGCCAAATAATTAGACAGCCATTGTTTTGCTAATCTGGGAGCTTGTGATTCCTTTCCTGGTGCTAATGCTGTTACAACAGCTACTCGCTGGCCGTCCGCGATTGCATTAGGCTAAACGAGGCCGCTAGCGTCTCTTTCAGTCGCTTTCAGAGCTACTCGTCTCCGTTCCTCCTCAGGAAAAAGGAAGCAGGATTCACTAATGGTTCTCTTTTTTTGTCGTGCTTTTCACATGCCGGCCAGCTCGTGAGGGATCGGATTCAGGCGTGCGGGGTAATCACGGGAGTCACGCGGGCACTGTGCACATCACGCGCTCTTAGACACCGCAGACGGGCAGGTTGTCCACCGCTCTGTTTCTCTGTCTCGTTTCCAAGATCTTTGTTTCGCTTTTGCTGACCTGCGTCATGAAGAGCAGCATTCCACAAAAAGGGACAATCGAAAAATTCCGCATTCCATGTTCCACAATCCGTGCTGGAATTGCTGCATTTGGTTTCAGCATTAAGGAAATCGGAGTGCCAGACCGCTTTAATTTCGGTTGTTAAATGTGTGGCATTCCTTTCTGAAATGCCCTTGGCGGCTCCGTATCGCCCCTCCTGGTGTAATCGTGGCGGTTCAGCGTACACCCTGGAGAGGGCCGAGTAGATTTGCTCCACCTCTGCCTGAAAGCCCCCGTTATGAATGTTTGGCATGGATTTTGGAAGCGACTGGATAAGATTATCTAATAGGATATAAAAAAGTAGGACACACTGTGCCTGGGACCGGGAACATGAATAAGCAGGGCCTGTTTCTGGCTCCGTGTCTCGCTGTTCCTTCAGCTCCAGTATCACTCTATTCATTGGGGGTCTCCCTGGGCCAAAAAGGATAAAAACTTAAGCAGGGAGTAGCAAACTGGAGGGACAGATGACCCAGTCTGAGAAGGGAACACTGACGGAGGTCAACCGGTCACTCTTGACTGGAATGTACCAATAGGAAAACGTCACAAGGTGATCAGGCATCCATACAAGTGTGCTATGGAGATTAATTTCAGCAAGGTGTCATTTCAGTAAAGCATCATTTCAGCAAGGCATTCTCTTTTTGTCCCTTCAGGCTTGCGTTAAAAGGTAGCTGTGCCACTTGCTAGGCCAACCATTCCCTGGCAACCAAGAGGTGTCCATGCTGGGAAGATCTGGAGGAGAGGAGAGGGGAATGTTAAGTGCAAGCTGGACTGGGAATTGGAATAGGAATCGCAGGTAGGTGCAGGTCTGGATCAGGCAGTAGAATGGTGTGGAATGTTACATTTTTAAACGGAATACTGCTTTTTAACTCCCTCAAAAGTGTTTTGTCTATATTATATATCAGAATAAGATATGCATAATTGATATGTGTGCACCTAAGCATCTTCAGGAACTAAGGTGACCGGAGGTGTCACTCAGATGTGACATTTAAAAGGCTGTGATCTCCGGCAATGCAGCAGGGTCACCCAGCCTGTCTATTACATAGAGGGCAAAAACACAGCACACCTGTGTATATGCAGTGTATGTTTGCTTACTCTGCAGACATGTTTGTCAAAGCGACATACAACTGAGGATCAGAGAGCAGGGTCAGCTGATGTCCCCGAAGCAGATTGGGTTAAGGACCGTGCTCCAGGGCCCAGTGGTGATATGATTAGTCTGCTATCCGCAGGATAGGAACCCACAACCTTCTGTACATGACCAGAGAGTGCTAATCCTCTATGCTACACCCTGTCCCTGTATGATCTCATTTAATTAAAATATATACATGTATCTAGACAATACTTTTTAAAAGTAAAATGAAAACAGTTCCAGAAATGCATTACTTGGATGGAGACAGGGAGTGTATTCACTTACCCAAAGGACTGTGAAAGCTGGCTGTGTCATTTCTGAGCTAGCTCGTTTAAGTCTCAGCCGGATTTTACTGCGGGATTCCTTTTTTTGAGAGAGATTGCATCCTTAAACCAGCTGGTTCCAAGCCTGTTTTAATTTCCACAACTGAGAGCAGAGTAGCTATTGGATTACAACGAAATACTGTGCGATCCAAGCAGCACGTGTGTGTGTCTGTGTGTGTGTGTCAGGCAGTCCCTGATGTGGGGGTCAGAACCCGGCCTATCCACCCCGTGAGAACATCCCCAGTGTCGGTCCAGAATCCTCACCCCTCCTCCCTCCCGTTTATTGTGCAAGCCTTCCGAGCGGCCCTGCACAAATGTGTTTGCTTAGCTAATGTGAACACTTTGTCCGGATTCCTGGAACACTCTCAAAGAAAGGTTACATAATTTCCAAATAATGCCACACTAGATGGCAGCACCCCCCCCCCACACACACACACACCCCCCACGCTGTTGTTGCCACGTTCTGTTTTGGCGCACCGTACGACGAGGAGACAAATTTTAACATATTCACGAGGACCTGCGGATGGGTGTCGGAGAAAAGCGCTTTGGGACACAGCGACCCCCCTAGGGCGAACATGGAGGCTTCGTGCAGGTTCGGATTGGGGTGCGCTGCCCCCTTCAGAGATCGAGTTATGGGCAGGCGTCACAAACCTCCCGTCCATCAGGAGGTATCGTGTGTCTGCTGACCCCACGCCCCCCCCTCCCCCCCCCCTTGCCCTGTCCCCGAATTCCCTGCTGCGTTGGAGCAAGCTCCCTCACACTGACCATCACCCGTCGGTATCTCCTCTTCCAAAGATGTGCAGAAATAAACAAACAGTAAGCGGTGGGTGTCCTTCTTCTGCACCGATTCCCACGTACGAGCGCCAGGCGGGGTGGGGGCTGTAAGCGGAGCCCAGTGCTTTTTAAAGGGGCAATACAGGACGGCTAGAAGCTGCACCTGGTCTCTGCCAGCACCCAGCAATGACCTTAAATGTAATCATCACTACTACTATTCTGATGCCTGGCACTTTATTACCAGGTGATATAGAATAAAATTACCATTTATTTATAAGATCAGTTTAGGTTACAGGCAGCAGCTCCTGCGCTGCATCCCCCTTAACCACCGGGGGCTGGGGGCTGGGGGCTGGGGGAGGGCAGGTCTTTAACTGCAACATGAGCTCCTGACCCTGAAAATCGCATGTGTCATTTTCTGTCCCAAAGCTCCAGATGTGGTGCGGGGAGTTGTTCCCGGGTGGATGCGTGAAGGTAGAAAGTCCCACTACGGGATCGATGGCCGTCGTGTGGCAGGAGATGGAGGACAGGGAGGGAGGGATGCTCGTGCACAGACGAGACACCACGGCGCACGGCAGCGGGAACAGCCCCGAGCCGCCCAGCAATAGTGAGCAGGGTCACTGGAGTTATGCGAGATGGTGACGTCCCACTGGTCAGGTGCCAAATCCCTGTCCTCCTGTCTGCCCGCCTCGGCCCCCACACCTCTCCAGGCCCGAATCAAGGAGATTCCCCACACAGAAGGTCGTGTGGAACACCCCCCCCCCCCCAGCCAGGTCGTGAGAGGAACAAAGGAGACATGAAAGAATTATCTGCGGCATGTCACATGAACCCCCTCCGCTAATTACAGGCAGGAATGTCACAATCAGGATGGGAATTCCCCCCCTGCTGCCGCTTTCCATCCTCCTGATTTCGAACATCTCCCGCTTTCTGCGTTGAGGCTCCGGGGAACATGATGGCAATCCTGCAGGAAGGCAGAGGGACAGGCAGCGGAACAGGCAGCGGAGAGGAGCAAACGGAATGGAGGAGGCCCAAGAAGCCAGCCGGGGGGGCAGGGGGGGTGCTGGTTACTCAGTAACCCAGGGCTAGAGTCAGCTGTCACCTTTGGTCTAGTACCCCCTCGCTCGCTGGCCCCGGCAGAGATTCCCCGGACGCCGTCCCCTGACGCATGAACCACGAGAAGGTGCGGCGGGATTGCTGACAAACATGCATGCAGACACGTGCGTGAGTGAGCACACGCTCCGACACGTGTTCACGGCCACGGACGCGTGTGCAGATGCACATATTAGTGTGCAGAGACACACGCTGAGAGGAAGGGAGAGAGCGAGAGAGAGAGGGAGAGAGACAGACAGAGAACTGGCAGAGAGGTGAGGGGACAGTGTGTCTCCGACATAGTGAGTCAGAGAGCGGTCAGCTGGGGGTGGGGGGGGGTGCGCGTTTGGGGAGGGTGTACAAGTCCAACACGGAGAATCATCCGCAGAGAGAAGAACACAATGACCAGCCAGCAGCATTCACCACAGACAAGACAGCACAAAAGAGAGACCTAACAGCACAGTTGTCAACACACCAAGGTGTACAACCACAAATGTACACATCAGTAACTGTGTGGAGCACAGACAAGGAGCACAGAACCCAAAACAGCCGTGAAGGTATCAGAAGGACATGCAAACTCCACACACGCAGAAGCAGCATGCACAATCCTGCAAGCACAAGACAACACACATAATTGTTAGTATATAAGAATATACAGTATATACTATATAACACTATGTATGTGCACTTACATCTATAGAAGGTTGTCATCTAGCCACGTATTCTGGGCAGGGTGGAGGGCAGGAGTACACCCTGGTCTAGCACAGGACACAAACACACACACTGCCAAACTGAAATACAGTGTCCAGCTACATATACCACTATGCACTGTATGTCATGTATCCTGAACCCAGAGTCAACCCAAGGAATGACGTCCCAAACAAAGGGAACGGTCTCCGCAGGCTGATGTGGCGAGTCGAGGCCGCATATATATATCAGAGTAAACACGCAGCCCCTACCTCAGTCCGATCTCTACATTCCTGAATCGCTACCGATCCGGGTGTGTGACCTTACCGAGTACACCCAGCGACAGCAGTCGGAGGAACAGCTCCCAGCAATCCAGAAAATGAAACCAGATAACCGTAACAGAGTTCATCCAGCAATGGTAGCAGGTTAATCAACACATCATCATCTAGTCAATTAATTAAGTGAGCTGATGGTGAAATTTAAGGAATATCTGGAATGGCTGGGGTACCCCTGAGGAGAGGTTTGGAAACCAAACCGGTGTCAAAGATACCAGTAAGGACCAGATTTTGGAGAACAGACGAAATTCTTGTTGGTTTTTTATTCCTCTAATGTTAACTGCTTTTTTTCTGAGCAAATATAGACGTACTACCCAAGATAATATAATGCATTCTTCTTCTGACTATAACAGTAAAGGTTTTTGAAGGAACAGTCCAGATGTAGCTGGAGAATTGCGGCTGGCAGGTCCTGCTCTGTGCAAAAGCAAACCGTCCGCACTGCTGTGATTAAAGATGAGAGAGATTTAAGAGCTGGGCACACGTCCCTGTTTGCGCATCACGGCATTAACCACACACCCGCCAGAATAAAAACGCCAGCTCTGAAGCCATAGTGTGAGGCGGCGATTCCCAACCCGGCCCTCGGGGACAGACCATCCATATTATTACTCCCTCCTGTCTGCGTCGACCGGACTGGGAAACACTGGTGTAAGAGAAAGTGGTTAATGGGGGCTGTGTTGACAAGCTACATTACAGAGAAAAGTGTAACCTTGATTGCCGCTGTGGTCACAGGGTTCACAGTGGAAAATAAATGTTATCCGGATGAACAAGAATAACTTAAGAACAATAGTAAGAGGCCCCTGTGTGAGGAAAAAGGGGCCAGCATGCAGTGGTGGCAGGTCAGTAAAGCGAGTGAAAGGGGTGGGCTGGGCGTATGGCCACACCCCCTCCAGCTGGGCACATGGCCACACACCCCCAGCCTCGTTCATGCCACTGCATTGTCTATCATGTATCAGTGCCTGTGTGGTCACTCTGTAGATCCTCTGCCTAATGAAGGGCAGCCTCTTGTGCATCACAGGCCTGTCTCTTCTGCATGGCTCACAACACGGGGGTGGGGGGGGGGTCTACAAAGAATAACCCTCAGTGCCACACCAAAGGAGTCATTTCAGTTTAGGACCATCTCTCTGGGAAGGCTGGGTACAGAAAAGGGCACCAAGAGGATCCAAAAACGAAACGAAGCAATTTCAGCAGGCAAACGCTAACGTTTAATATGCGCTATTTCCTGAAAACACCACCCCTCTAGAGGCATATTATTCTGTAATGACTCAAGTTATATTTCATTTTAGATAATGGTGCAGCCTTACAGCTCCGAGGATGGGGGTTTGAGTCCCACCCCTGACTGGGCCTCCTTTCGTAATCCAAAAACATGTTAGGTGAATTGGTTTCTCTAAATCATGTGTATATTCCCACTGGTGGACTTGCATCCCATTCACGGTGTCCATAGCCTTGTGAGCAGTGCATTATGGGACATGATCCAGACTCATGCTTGCTAGATAATGGATGTTACAGAAAATGGATGGATGACACACAGATGAACTCATACAGGTGTGACTCATGCACTCAAACAAAGACACCGCGACACTGAATTCGGAGACATGACCACAGAGCTTTAATGGTGAGAATGCTGCCGTTCATTCAGCTCCTGCCCAACTTAACACGCCAAGCTGAGTGCGATTCGACCAACCGGTACATCCGAGGTCCAAACCCAGCGCTATGGACTCATCATGCTGCCGAGACAGGGGGGCAGAGATCATTTTGGCAGCTGTCTCAACACGCAGGGGTCGCGAGCTGTACCTTGAGCCAGATGGGGAACTTATTTTCCTTGGGGTGTGAATGGGGGCCGTCCTATTTATTTTCACGCCAGGGCTTTCCAATTGATGTTCTTCTTCCGATCATTAAAAAAAAACAAGCAGTTAATCCAGCTCACAAAGGCGAAGGAAAATAAATGGCCTGAAAACAAGGGGAGGGATTGCACGTAGGCCGCAGAACAACACGAAAATCCGTTTTGAACTCCGACACTTCAGATAAACTTCTCTCAGGTCCCTTCCTGCAATTCAGCTTGCAGTCGGCTTTCAGCAGAACAGGCACCTTGGCACTCGCTAGTAGACGGGGTTAATTCTCGTAAGGCGTGTATTTTGCGTAAAAACAGCAAAACAGCATAAAAGTGCCATAAAGGACTCAAAATAGGAAAGGGGCCCAAACAAAGGGATGGAAGGGTCTAGAACACAAACAGGGAGCAAACACGTTTACCCAGCTCTTAACAATCAACCAATCAGCAGCTTCACCTGTTTATTTCCTGCACTGGACCGGCTCCTTGGTCCCATTTCAGATTGTTATGTAGAGACCTCCTCTCAGCACAAGATGTTGAACACAACTGGAACCAGTAATGCACTCAGAGCAAATCTTAGCTTTGATCTCTACGCTACAGGCAGCCATTGTCAAGGTTGCAGCATACAGCTGGACCTTCAGCTTGGACCACACTCAGCAGGCCCTCATTCACGCTGCCCTCGTCTTTCCATGCAGCGGTTGAAGTGAATAGTCACGATGAAACCCGACTTGGGATTTTATGATGGACTGACTTCCAGTAAAAAATAGCACCTTATGACACATCAGTCTAATCGAAGCAGCTTCCCCTGCAGAATGTGTGTCTATGGCGATGCTTCCGCCTTTGAGATCATCTTTAGAACAGCATCATCAGAAACTCATTAAACTAACAAGTGATGATCCTAATTAGTGTTCTTACACCAATGGGCCAAAGGAGCAAAACCCAAGAAGGTTCACCAAAGTGGTAGCTTCTAAAAAATATATAATTAAGAAGCAAAGTACCAAATCGTACAAGCGGTGGAATATTTAAATATCTGCATTTGCGCTTTAATACAAAGAAGCACAAAGAAAATCAAGTAAAGCTTTAGGTGGTCACCTAAGCTGCTAATTACACATTAATTAAGTGTCAAACTTGTGGAAATGAGGGTTTCTAAGTTACTGCTGGGACTCCATGGAAACCGTTAACATTTCCCCCAAATTACGTTTACACTTTATTATATAATTACGAGTAAAAATCCACTGGCACTGTGAGGATTGCGTCAAATGATTATTTTAATAAAGTCCCTGCAAACCTTCAGATGTCAGGGCTGAATGGAGATAGCTGTGGGACATAGAGGCGTGTGATGCAGACCGACGGCACAAACTGCTTCCAGTTACATCGGCAGGTGTCGCCGCCCACCCACGCCCCACCCACACCCCAACCACGCTCCGCCCACCACATCCACGCCCCGCCCACACTCAGTCCACGCTGGAGGGTATCTCCCAGTCAATCAGGATGGCGTAACTGGCACGCTGGGACCTGACATGAAAGTGGCATTGGGTATCACAGTACAGCCAGCTCTCCCCCTACCAGGCCTCTCTGAAGGGGGAGGAGCCATGGGGGACAGACTCGCATGCGCGAGATTTTGATGGTTAACGGCGTTTTTCAAAATGCTTAAGGAAACGGGACAAATTAAGAAGAAAAACCAGGTCTGTTCCTGATAAGAGACCGGCGGCAGTGTGGGGTTCTGGTTCTGGTTCTGGGCTTGGTGTCACTGCCAGCTTTAGTGACTAAATCGCTAAAGTCATGACTAACCCGCTACAGTGACTGGGGAGCGAATCACAATGTGGGTAAGAACAGTAATAAGTCCCAGACACGCATCAGTCATCCCAGATTCCACAGAGATCCGAAGAAAGGTCGGTAGTCTTATTAGAACCAATCAAGGCCCAACACCAGGATCGAAGACAATGTATTCACAAAATAAAGCATGCTTAGGTGCTGTTCTTCGCCTTGGCCAGCTCTCCACTGGTGGACCTGTAAGGGGAACAGGCATGGACAGCAGGGGGCGCCAGGGCTCCTCAGGAAAGCAGGGTTTGCACCTGCTGTGTGGTTCGGTGCAAGACGCTCTCTGGCTCCTTGTAGCCGCTAGCTGGGTCGGTGACAGCACCGTACACATCGCCATAGGCCCGGCAGACCAGCTCTGTGGACTGCCGGAAGATCTGCTCCCTGGGAAGACAGGGCGGGACAAGGAGGAGCCATGAGGACAGACAGCCATGGAGTGGAGGAAGACAGACTAACAGCACAAAACACAAAGGATCCACATCATCAGTTCAGCTGCTTTCACGGACATCAAGGCGTGCATTACGCGTTTCATACATACGGGTGCCGAGAGGGAAAAAAAATGCAAATATATATTCAGCCATTATTTTATTACTTTAGCTTTACATACCTGCTAGTAGTCATTTGCGTTATGGGTACAAGCTGACCTATTTACCGTTTACTGATTATTAAAACCTGACTTGTGTACCATCATGTTCAGGCAGGTTAAACAGGACTGTAAAGTCTGACTGGACAAGGCCATTACGTCAGTAAATCATTTCAGTGTTTAATCACTGACCACAGGTCCTGTTCTTCAGCCTGAAGCAATGATGTTGTCTAAGTGACCTGTACCTATTTTTTTGCTTTTATAGTTAGAATTGATAGTATTATTTATTGATCATAAAACTATTAATAGAATTAATAATCCTGCATTGATTTATTACTGTGATTCGCCAGTCTGGGTTACACGAAAATAAATCAATACCCTTCAGATTTGTGAATTCGACTATGGGGGTACAAAAAGCAGTAACATTCAGGTGCCCGTAATTGTTGACGACAAAAGCACAGGTAGCTTGTGTGAGCTACACGTTCTCATGCCAATATAGGAATGGAGTGAAGCTTTAACTTAATCAGTGGCAAGGACAGGACCTGAACTCTCAAGTGCTGTAAACAGAGCAGCCGTTTTGCTTAATAGCTGGCAGGGACAATCGTGTGGCTTGTAGCACCATCTAGAGGTGCAGTACCACCACCATCTAGCCCATGCAGACGTGTGCTTGTTTACGGCGGTAGTAAGAATCCACCTTAAGTGTGGATTAATCAAATGCTTCAGTATGTTTGGGTCTAAAAATGCGAATGGTATGACGAAAATCAAATAATATCCCAAAGCACGGGCTGAGGACTCCGCAGTTTTAATAGAAGATTTCACAACAGGAAGTGGCAGCCACCCCTGCCTGGCGGCCGCCTGCCAGTCCTGACGGCCTGTTTTGGGTTTGCTCCCCACTGCGGGGGCACTCTGGGTGGTACACAGCACATGTCCCTGATGCCTGCCCCACCCAGAGGCTGTAACGGCCAGTAGGAGCCACCTTAAGTTCCAGAACGGCCTCCGCCTCCCAAAGATTCCAGTTACAGTCAGCAGAATAGCAGGCCAGAAACACTGAGCCGGGCTTTTATTTATATTAGGGTGACTAACAAAGGGAAGCTTTTTTTGATTAAGCTGTTTGAGTCTCTGCTACAGTCTCACTGCGAAACGCTGCCAGCGCATCCGAATTTGGAGGTGCCAACGGGAACGTTCTCATTCTTCCCAAAATGTTTGTTCAGTGTGTGCCTAATCTTTTTAGAATCTAGCATCTTTCTTGAAATTCCCACTGTGTCCTGCTGTTTTTACCCTCGCGGAACTGCGGAATTTGAAAATGATGGATCCCATCTCACTGCATACAGTGACCCAACTGAAGGAGCCTTTCCCTGCAGTGCTGTTCCTCTAATGGTCCTCATTCAGGTGAATCGATAATGGGCTGCGCGGGGGGTGGGGTGGTGGGTGGGGGGGGGATGGGGATTATGCTGCCAGTCATATCTTTGGTACTGAAGCCAAACGCCTTGAAGGTAATGGAATAAGCGACATCCCGGCACAGGCAGTGTGTTCGGGAACACGTGAGCCCCGTACATGCGTGTATACGTGCACGAGGCTGCACTCCCACCTGAGCAGACGGCACGCGGGTTTATTTGGGCCTCACAGCCCCGTTAATGGAGAACATTAACCTCAGGTACATCGTTCGAAGCTGCCCTCGGTTTCCAGTAATTCTGATTCATGGTTCTAATTTCTTCAAATGTGGCCGCGCCGTATCCAAACAGAAATCCACGCAAATCACGCTTTCACTGATGTTGTTGTTATTGCGCCAGTACTGAAATGACGTGACCCAAACGTTCTGGTTGGGCTCAGACTATAAACACAAGACAATCGGAGACCCGATGTACCTAAGATCTGATTACGATGCCATCACCTCCACATACACATACAATCCCCAGCCAATAGAAATCCTCTGACAGCATTCAGAGTCCAATGAGCTTTCGGTTTACATCAGAACTTACTTCATTGCTGCACTAAGCAGGAAGTTGAGCTGGGGCATTAGCAGGGTGTCAGGAGAAGCCAAGTAACGGTCAAACTGCACCTGTGCATAAAAGGAACAGGGGTGGAGGTGACCAATGAGAACTAAGCACTGATGATTTAAATAAGCTAATTATTATAATAACAATAATAATACCATAGCTGCCTTCAGTGACGAACTATCCATCCCAGGGATGCTGGACAGGGGACCCTTTGTGACAGAAACGCACCAAGTGAGTTTCCCTCCAAAACAGCAGAGGGATTCACCCTGAACCCCCCCCCCCACCCCTCTTTCCCACTGAGCCCAGAACGCCACCTGTTTCCCAACAGCGTCTCCTGGTCTGTCTTTTCCATGCTGTTCTGTTCCATTAATGGGACATTTATATACCAAAGCATAACGGCACGCTGCCATGTGGCAATATATTACCTCACCGGTCACAATTTATCTCACATTTTAAATAATCTGATGCATCGGTGTGACTGATCTAATCACCTGGACCACAGTGCGGAGTCCCAAGGCACACGTGCAGACACCCAAACTCACACAGATCACGTGCAATTTAGGCAGAATGGCGTATTACCTCTGCATTTCTTACGCAGAACAAACCCCTGGGATGCGATCTTCACACCCTCAGAGCTGGGCGTGCAAATCTAACCCTTATATATTTAGGGACACATATTTACTTTCAGAAACTATACACAGAAGTATACTGCCTATTTGGGTTCCCATGCCGAGTTTCTCTCTGGAATCGTGTCCTCATTTTCTGAAGTATTTTCATACTTTTAGCACATTTAATCTATTTCTTTTTTCCAGCAGACTGATGGAGCTGAAAGCCATGCCAGGCTTGGAGGGAGGCCTATTAAAGGCCAAAGTCACCACGGCAACGGCAGCACTGACGAGAGCCCACGTGGACCGCCAGCAATTTACCCGGGAAAGAACCGAAATAACCTGTGCTAAAGCCTGCATTAGGCAACGAGGGCAGGGGGGGGCCGGGGGGGTCATAAAGCCTGTGATATGGGTGTTGCTCTGGATACGGGTGTCCACTCGGCAGGCAGAAACACGGCGAGATAAAGGGGTGTGTCGGGCAGAGAGACTTGCGCTCGAAAACAGGCAGGGATGGGCACCTTCCTGCCCCCTACTGGTCAGAGGGGGAGGACGCAGGGGTGGCGGGGGGGGGGGGGGGGGGGGGGGTCACCTGCTCCTTCCCGTGCTGCTGCACGCAGTTGTAAATGTAGCTGAGGCCTGCCCGCGTGAGCACGTAGGAGGCCTGCTCGTTGATCAGAGTGTCCAGGTGCGCCTCAATCTATGCACACGTGCAGAAGAGGAGAAAGACTTGGAAGAGCGATTGCCACTGACATAGCCACTCTAGACATTATCTGTATTATCTGTCACCTATGACCTGCGACGGACATTCTAATATTAATCTGATATAGGGTCTCTCTCTAAAGATCTACAGTCAGACACAATAAATGCTATGAAAACCTACACACATCGACTGTTTAGACTGTCATCCATTCATCCATCCATCTTCAAACTGCTTCCTAAATATACAGGCATAGTCAATATGAAGGCTACCTCAGAAAGCACCGGGAGAGGAACGGAGCCACCGGCCCCAAAGGGGGGAGGCTATGGTGGTAGTCGCCCATTCAGATAAATATGTAGTATAAATTGCAGATGGTGTTAATAATTTAAAAGTAAGACTGTGGAGCTGTATGCCGGTCAGGAAATCAGGTGTGAAAGGCTGATTAAACGCTCGAAGGCAAAACCCTGGGCCAGACAGACACTCAGGGTGCCGCTTGACCGTCTGCCTGCTAGCTCAAAGTTTAATGGTGTTTCTCCCGCCCCAGATTGAGCAATAACTAGAAAACTCAATTACAAGCCAAACCAGTAACACACGGCGCATGAGGAAAGTGTGAGGTAGATAATTAAATTGGTGCCCTCCTTGACCAAAGTGGTGAAAGCCACCGTCAGGGAGGAAGTGACATGCGCCCGTTCCGTCGTTAATGATTGGCTGGCACAGAAATCGGATTTTCCCCTCAAGTAAACAGGACAATGCAGCAGTAACAGAGGCGTTAACATAGCGACACGTCCTCTGACTGAAATGGGGGGGAGGGCCGGGGGGCGTTGTGAGTGGTGGAGCTGCACGTAGCCGGAGTGAGAGGGTTTTAAGGGGAGGGGGGCCGCCCCAAGTAACCTGAAACTCGAGCATCTCCAGCCGCTTGTCGGTGAATTCGAAGAGTGCCAGCGAGGTCTTCATCATGTACAGCGAGTTCACCATGTAGGTGGCCATGTCGGCCGGTCCCAGGTTACTGGCTGAGACCGTGCAGAGCTGCAAGAGCGGGTCCAGGATGCAGGACAGCACCTGGCACAGGGGGCAAGAGAGACTGAGAGTCCAAAGCAGCTCGTGCAAGTTTACAGGGTCCATCCATCCATCTATCACCATGTGCCAATTACACAAACTAGACTGATGATATTAACAACATACAAAATCCATTTTAAAATGAGATTGATACTGAACAGAGTAAATTTCAATGAAAAATAACCACCATGGACACATATTCTTCAAGTAAACTCAGGTGTACTTTGGATGCCTGATCCTTGGTGCTGGTCTTTAAAGGGAAATCAAGAGGGAAAACTCAGGGACTTTCAGCAGGAAGGGTTAGGCAGATCAGGCTGGGTGTGGGGCACGTTACCTGGGCAAAGTCAGCCTGGCGGGCATCCAGGGGCACCACCGAGGAGTCATGAGAGGCCAGCACCTCCCTGAGCAGGGACAGCGTCTGGTTGAGGGAGCCGGTGGGACCCAGGTCCGGGGGTGGCAGCTCCACCTGGTGGCCGGAGGAGTGCGTGTGAGAAGAGGAGCCAGAATGGGAGCCAAAGCGCGTCCAACCAAGAAATATCCCCAAGACGTAGACAGTCAATTAGAAAATTAATACTATAAGCTGTAATATATCCCATAATATGCGGACTTGTTTTAATAACCTGATCTCAGTTCATACAGAGTGCTAGTGCCCCTCTACTCCAAACAGCATGCTTAAAAACACTCTGGCTAATTGGCTTGATTCAGAGGACCTTGTGTCCCAGACATCAACGGGGCCAGAGGGCAATGAGTAACGTTTCAACGGCACCAGGATTCAATCAGCACCAATCGGAGGGCTGCCGTGCAGAGCAGAGGCGGCCAGCTGCCGCCATCGATCGGCGGCCTGAGGCCTGATCGCAGTGAGAGGCCGGCGTGGCTGGCCTTATTTTGCTGCCAATTTTACAGTCCCTGAGAGTATCGCTGATGTTCCTGAGTGCCACGAGCTCGATCACAGAGAAGAGAAACTCCAGGATTCAAGGAACCTTGTTGACTTCCAGAAACTTCTATATAAAGGTTTCCAGATCAACAGCACCTCTCCTTTTACCCGGAAAACTTCAATCTTAAACAAGGGCATCCATCTGTTATCTATCACGGTACAGAGTCCACATCCCAGAAAACAAGAGGGAAAGACGAACAAGGCAGGTGCCTAAATCTCATATTTATACAATGCATAATGCATTTCATTTAAAATGTGTTTATATACTTCACTTGTAACTGATCTCTTTAACTACTACACCCTGAGAAACACACTTGATACAGATGCCTACTAGAGCGATGGTGTGCAGCTCAGTGGATTAGGATGCCGTGCCAGTGATCAGAAGATCCCATGGAAAAATAAATCAAGTAAATGAAATCCCTAGCAACTGCCCTGGCTTTTGGATGTCTCGGGGGCCTCGCACCTTGTCCATGAGCCGGCTGGCATGCAGACTCAGGCTGTTGAAGAACATCTTCTTGCTGAGGACGTGCATCTCCTCTATGGTGATGAGCAGTGTGGCTACGGCCGTGCCGATGATCCCGCTGTGGGTGGAGGGGAGTGCGTGCTCACTTCACAGGACCGGAGAGGGTCGTGAGTACTCAGGCGGTTCTGGCCCCCCCAGGTTGTACAAACCAAGGTTGGCCTCTACATCATCTAACATGGTACTGATGTATGAAGACCACTTGGACTGGTTGTGATATTGTTTTTTTTGTTGCAAGTTTGTCCCATGAAAAAGTACATTTTGTAGGATAATGTGCAAAAGTGCAATAAATAATAACCAAAACTGGTTGAATATCGAAGCCCCAAACAGCCTGCATAAGGAGATCAATGTCCATTCTTGACTTGCACCTCTTGGATATTCCCCCACTGAATCCATGTATGATCAGCAGGTGACAGTACCTGCCAGGTAAATCTGAAGCACAGGCTTTAAGGGTGCTGGTCTTTGCAGTCCCAGCCCGAGACGCCCCCCATCCCGCCTGCCCTCAGCACCCACCAATCCTAATACAGTGGAAACTGCTTATAGTGATCAACTGCTTACATGGATCAAAAAGCTTGGGGCGGAATCATTCCTGTACCAATACTGTTTAAAGAATTGGCTCATAGTAATCAAGCTGCCTGCTTTCAGTGTTCATTTTGGGTCTTTTTATACATGACAGTATATTGAAAAAATTAAAACTTTTTTTTTTTAACTTTACTTTGGAGCGCCTTACTCTGCTTTGAGGTAACCCATCTGCTTCTGGCAAGCTACCGGAGGCTAATGCTGCGTGTACAGAAAACATGATGGGCCAAAGAAAGTCATTTTCTCTCAATAACAAATATAGACTCATCAAAGCTCATTATAAACTGCCAAAACTGAGCCAACGAGATGCAGCAGCAAAACTACAATAAGCGCTTTGAGACAATATAACACTGTGAAAATGTGCTTTATAAATAAAATTAAATTGAACTGAATTGAATATATATGTACAGTACCATACTGTATTATAGCATATTTGAATTGCATACAGTCCAGTAATTTCATTTGTGCAGTACTGTAATTTGAAAAGCATTTGAAACAGCTGCACTGTATTTTGAAAAAGTCAATAAAACTAAGTAAATAGCGACACTGTCCGTTGTGTTACCTTATATCCATGTAATAAATATACAAATGTCAGACATTTATCTGCCTGAGACAAAGATAAATCAATTATAATGATCATCCACTTATAGTGATCAATTTGACAGACAGATAGAAGTGATCACTATAAGCAGTTTCCACTGTATCTCAGGCTTGCTCTGATTGGCCGGTGTCAGGATGACCCAAGTAGGTACCTGATTGTGTGGTGGTAGAACTTAAGCAGGTTGGACAGCTTATACAGCAGCACTGGACCCGGCTCTGCAATGACGACCTGCTCTAGACGCACCTTGAAGAAGATGAAAAACCAGGTAACACCTGGACAAAAGCCGACAGACACAGGTAAGCCAGCAGTAACAGTAAGTCTTAGAGTTCAGTTCCATGTAAGGTCCATTTGCTGATAAAATGCTATGTATTTAACATATAAATTAATTTGTCTACATTGAAAAATACAAATTTACTCATCAATAATACTGGTGCTTTACCATTGTCATACAAGAACCGACCTGTACCCGAGCCGTACCGTGCAGAGAGACTAGTTACAGCTCGCTTCAGTTTTCCACTGCAGAACGGTAGGCTTGGTAAAGACGTTGCTGGATTTGGAGAACGACAGTGACGTAAAACCGAAGAGACTTTTTTTACTGATCACACATAAGAACATAAATTTACAAACGAGAGGAGGCCATTTGGCCCATCGAGCTCGTTTGGGGAGAACTCAACTAATAGCTCATTGTTGTTAAAATCTTATCTAGCTCTGACTTAAAGGAACCCAGGGTTTTAGCTTCCGCTACACTAACAGGAAGACTATTCCATACTCTAACAACACGCTGTGTAAAGAAGTGCTTTCTCAAATTGATTTTTAAATGTTCTCCTGCTAATTTCCACTTATGGCCACGAGTTCTAGTATTTAAACTAATATTGAAGTAGCCATTTGACTGAACAGCATCCAGACCTGTTAGAATCTTATATACCTGGATCATGTCCCCCCTTTGCCTCCTTTGTTCAGGCTAAACAGATTCAGCTCAGCTAACCTCTCCTCATAAGACATTCCTCTAAGACCAGGAATCATTCTTGTAGCCATACGTTGCACCTTTTCTAAGGCAGCAATGTCCTTCTTAAGGTATGGTGACCAAACCTGCACACAGTATTCTAGGTGGGGTCTTACCAAGGAATTATATAAGTGTAACATCACCTCCCTTGACTTAAACTCCACACACCTAGAGATGTAACCCAACATTCTGTTCGCCTTTTTTATTGCTTCCCCGCACTGGCGAGAGTGGGACATGGAAGCATCAACATACACACCGAGATCTTTCTCGTAATCAGCTACCTTTATTTCAGTGGAACCCATAAAATATCTGTACTTTATAATTCTGCTCCCTGCATGGATTACCTTACGTTTATCTATACAAAATTTCATCTGCAAGGTATCAGCCCAATCACTAATTAAATCAAGATCCCTTTGAGGCCTCTGTGCTGCTAGTCAAATATCAGCTATACCACCCACCTTTGTGTCATCTGAAAATGTAACCAGTTTACTGTATGCATTGGTGTCAATATCATTAATGTAAATTAGGAACAATAGTGGTCCTAAAACTGAACTGTAGCAGTACCCCACTATGAATGCAGGACCACTATGACATTGTGCCTCTAATTGGTGCACATCATGATTTATTAGGTACAATAATTTGTTTACTGTATGTCAATTTCTGCAAGCATGTCACTTATGCAAATATCTAACACTAGCAGAATTAATATTCGCTTGTGTAAATTTACATTATGAATTAATTCCGTTCAGCTGTTCTATAGTACTTTATGTGAGGCTGGAAATTCCAAGTTATTGGGAATGCATCAAATTGCAATGTGCGATACTACCAACAATGAATAATAATGATGAATAACAATATCTCCTTATTTCCTTCAGATAATCCATGCGTATCGACACAGAACACCAGTATCGTGTATTTTAACTAATCAGATGGTGGTGACACAACCAGTGGAACAGCGCTATAAGCTTGTCCGTGCTTAGTAGCTTTCTGTTTGCTAATGAGTCAAAATATCACTACCATAATGCTGGAATTTCCACAAAAATATACCGTCCTTAAAACTTGCAGAGGCATCTTATAGGGGTCAGGTTTACATAATATGGGAAAAACATTTATGGCAAATAACACGCAGAATAGAGGTGATGGGAGATTTTGGCTCTTGGGACCGATCTGAAGGTTTCCCTGGTACAACTAATGCTGCGTTTCATTTCAACTCATAACTCGAAAAATCTGAGTCCCTGGTTGGTAATTTCAACTGGAGCACCCCCTGTAATCAGAACTCCTACTCGGAAAGTCGGAGGAATCTACACAACCCCGACCTCAGAACTGAAGATAGCTGCGCCCTTTATCAACAGAAGTTAAAGCTATAGTTTTATAGTGTTTATCAGCACTTACAATTTATTTATGGCTCATTAAATCAGTCATGCACACAGTACTGTCCAACTGCTGTCTGTGGACTACAGTATTTTTATGCACAAAATTCCACATGATGTGTTGTTATCAACTGATATTGTTAACAATGGCTAACAATGAACCTGGCTAGAACTGGAGCCTGATAAAGAAAGTAGGATTTCTTGCTTAGCTGGATAACTTGTCGGATTTAAGGTAATCCGGGCTAAATGTAAATGAATAAAGATAGATGTCATTCCAATTTGGGTAAATTAAACTTGACAAGTTATCCGGCTAAGCAAGAAATCTTGGGTCCCTGGTATTGCTTAAGTGGCTTTCCGACTTGCTGTACTGGTAAGGGGTTAATTCTGGTGTGACGTCATTTCCAGCTCAGACCTCCTCAGACCTCTGAGGTAAATGGAATGCTGCATAAGCACACCAACAGATCTAGATCAATCAACACTCTAGAGGCCAGTCAGCTGACTCTCTCCCCAAAGAGGAAGTTAAAGAGCGACACAGCTGCCTCATTGGCTTTACCTTGAGAGGTCTGCACACTCCTTCAGTGATATGGCCCACCACTTCCTGCATGTTCTCCTCCACACCTGTAGGAGGCAAACAGACAAAATCATCCACAACCGCTTAGCCAATATTAGTGTCTCTGTGTGGGCAATGGGGTGCGAAATGGACTGCCATTCCAGAGTTCCCTGTATGGTGCTCGATATTTCCCGTCAGATTCATTAGGTACAGATGAGAGGATGGAGCAGTGGAAGGACGCCGTGTAGGGCAGTAGGGCAGGTTCTGTACCTGGCATGGTGACCTGCTTCAGAAGGGCCTCCAGGTGTTCCCTCTCTGAGGCGGTGGCCTGGTGAAGCCATGCCAGCATGTCTCCCACGTACCTGAAGGGGGCGCCAGCTTCAGAATCAGCAGGTACACTCTATACATATACATGTAAGACTACATCATGGATGTCAGCAGACAGGCATGGTGAGAGTATGTTACAGTGTAGTACAGCCAGGAAAGCTGGGAGATATCTGAAATCAGATAGTGAAGAGTTGCTGGAAGTAACTCACACAGTGAAGCACATTAGAGCATGCGACGCAGTTGTAAAGTCAGGGATATTCAGGATATGTAATGAGGTCATCAATACCTCAGGGGATCATGGGAATGCATTTCTATGGGACGCGGTGTTCCTCCTGCCCCTCCCCGTGTGAGGGCATCGATAAACCCCCGGACCACCGCAGATCTCCGGGCTGTCCCGAACTCGTCCAGTGTGTACCTGTGAGAAGCCAATAAGCAAACAAGGACAACGTGAACTCATGGAACGCGAACTGTCCAGTGGGGCCACTGTGAGGAGGAAGGAAGCAGCTGGAGAGATGCAGGCCACATCTACAGAAGCATTGCTTCACCAGGAAATGAGTTAGCACCCGTCGATGATGTCAGAGTATTGCCCGATTGAATCAGATACAGCTACATTTGCGCAACCTTTTTCTAGCGAAAACAGGTAAAATGTGGTAAATGCTTGAAAACAGTGATGTTTGCCTTGCTAGTTTATGGTCACTGGTGACCCTTTTTCTTCAGAGATGGGAACTCAAAGACAGATGACTATCTACGAGCAACATCTGACCCCTAGTGGTAAGAATGTGGCATCACAGCAACACAAAACCACCCCTAAACCGGCTCAAGTGCCAGAGCCGCATTCCTGGTTGTTGTCGCCGGTAAACACAAGAGTAATAGTGACAATGCCAACATTCAGGTCGGCGAGGTCACCAAGTGCTTTGGGGGTGAGAGTGATGCGGGAGTAAACGGGGGCCATATGATAGTGCAGCTCGTTGGATGACCATTTTTATTGGGGGGGGGGGGGTTACTGACTTGTAAAGGATGGGTCTGTCCTGCAAGGCCTCCATAGCCTGGCTCAGCACTGGGGTGATGTCACATGTCTCCTGGGTCAGTCCACGACACTCATCTAACGGGGGGAACCAAGAGTGTCACTATTAGCATCACGGATACCTGAGATCTCTCCGGCAAGGACGCCATTTCAGTGCGGAGGGCTGGGTGTCACCCAGTTCATTAGGTGTGACTGTGCGTATGAATGCCAGCTTTGCGCCCAGTGCGGCGGTACATGACCATCACGCCCTCACTCCAGGGGGCACTGAGTCACAGCACTCACTCTGTGCCCAGCGGTACAGCTGCTCGTAGGACGTCTCCTGCAACACCGCCATCTGCTCCATGATCTCCAAGCTGCAGAGAAGAACCACACGGTTAGTCAGCGCTGAGCAGCAAGGCGACGCTTAAGCTTCCCCTGCCCCCCGCCTGCCTTTTCCAACGCGATGAACAGTTTCTTGTGAGTACGACTCCCACACTCTGGCTGTAACACAGGACTGAAGTAGCGGCAGAGGTAATCAGTGCGCCCCCTCCCCCATCAGGACACCCCAAAGCCCCCCCCCTCCCCCCCACAATTCCCTTACCCGGCGGTCTGCTGGTTGGTCCGCAGCAAAATCTTCACGTCCTCATGGATTTGCTTCACCCGCCTCAAAGCCCTGAAGAACTCCTAGAAAAAGCATCTCCAAAGCTCAAATATCCATCCATCCACCCATCCATCCATCCATCCATCCATCCATCTGTTTATTCTGGACAGAGGAAGCCTAGAGTCTGTCCCAGGCTGCACTGGGAGGAAAGCTGAGGTATTCCAGTCCACCACAGGGGACGCATACATGCCAATTAGCCTAAACGCTTCACTCTGGACTGGAAACCAGAATACCCGGGAAAACCAGAACCGGAGAGAGAACATGCCAACTTCAAATGCAGGGCAGGGGCAGGAGTCGAGGCCGCATTCCAGGAGGTGTGGGGAACCCGTGCTACCTGCTAAGCCAGCGAGCTGCCCTTCTAAGACACTGCACCTAAAGGACCCGTCAGGAGGTGTGTAGGCGCTGAGAGCGGCGTTACCTGCGTGACAGGGCCGTCCCGCGCCCCGCGCAGGGTAGCCATCTCCTCCCCCGACAGCTGGAATTTGGAAAGGAACACCTGGGCGACCTGCGCTCGAATCTCCAGCCGGTGACTGGGGGGGAAAGGAGGGGATCGTGAGAGAGGACACCACTGAACCACACTGCTGACATCATCTGCATGGAGTGAAAGGCTGTGCGCTTTGTCTTTTCAAAGAAAGATGACATTTCCTATTTACATAGTCATACACAAACCAATCCCCACCCCAACACCCAATCAGCTCAGATTGCCTGCACCATCATCACACAGCCACTAGGAGGAAGCAACGTGCCACTCCACAATTCCCATGTCTGCAAAAGTGTGGATGAAGAGGCTTTAACACAAAAGCTCCATTTGCTCTCAGATATTTTGAGCTTCATTCCAAGCATTCTGAGTGGGGTCTCAGTCTGAGCTACCTGACATTAACAGTATGGGGTGCGGACATTCTCTCTCCGAATCTGTTTCTGTGGATGAATGTGGGACTTACTGAGAATACATACAAACAGACATTATAAAACACGATCCACACTGAACACAAATGCTTCATTTATAACCTAAAAACCTGAATACGTTTATTAAAAAAAAAACACACACACAAATTTAGACACAAAAAATACTGCACGATATCATGCAATATGTGATTTTTCCACGAGTAGAACTTTTCTATCGATAGGTGGTGTCTGCTAAGTTGGTGGTGTTGCTGTGAGTTGTGTCAACAAGCAGTGCTGACAAATGTGATGTGATTACTGCGCATGAGCACAATATATCCTGCAACCTTAGAAGCACTATATCAGAAGAAGATGGAAACACGCAAAAATCCCTAAGACTTTTTTTAAAAATGAAGCATCATCCTAAGATTGCATGTCACTGTAACCAAGCCAGTACATTTAGGAAATGTAAAAACAGTACGTGTTGTACACATCTGCATATAAACTTAAAATCATTCTGTAACAGCAAACCTCTAACATGCAAATAAACTACACAGTGGAAAAGAAAGAATGTCTGGTGTCAGATGGTAATTATTCTTTATTAGTTGGATAACTTGAATTATGAATAAACTATACTCCTGATAAATGTATACAGGAAGTCGTTCTACTCTGGGCGTTAACTGCTCCTTCCGTACTGTGTGCAAGACTTCCCACTAATTTCTACCATTGTGACCCACTGCTCTTTAGAGCATTAGTAAGCTGCTAATTAATAAGATGCTACATCGAGTTTCTCTGATAAGGACTGTCTGGTTCGCGCTGAAATTATCCTACCTGACATGATGCACCCTGTGGAGCAACCAATGACAATGTAAACTAACACACATAATATGTGATTCAAATCTCTGCCGGGGGAGTTTCACAGGTCTTCAAAAATCAGAGAAATCTTACGGCCACTTTTAATTCCGGAAAAGACCGGCCAGAGGCAGACCAAGGAAAATCGACTCGAACCCCTGGCCTCCAGAAACGAGCTGAGCTCTGCCCGTCTCCCTGCTCCTCCCATTCGTAATCTGAATGAACCCAATCGTCTGCACTTTTACTAAAATAATTAACTGCAGGGAGACCTTGCATCCCCAACGAGGCTGACCGGCTCATTCTCCTCCAGTCACTGCGCAGCTGCTCAGTATCTTGCCAAATGGGAGCTGCAAATCTTTCACACGCACAAAAAAAATTGGGAATTGGGAAAAATGGAGGGAGGGAAAAAAGCCTGTATTTCACAGTGGCCTTAATATGGCTTTCGCTGTTCGCTATGCGTGTGGGAATATTTCTCTAGCTCCCGACGAGCGTGAACAGAGACACGACGAGCAAACGCGCATACGGGCAGCGGTGGGGGTGCCGGAGCTTCCGTGGACAAACAACGGCAGCCTAGCGGGGGTCTTCCGCATGCCAGGTTCACACGCACAAACTGCACTGACAGCTACCTGTGGGGAGCACCATCTGCCTGCTTCTCAGCGCGGGAACCTGACCCTCACTGGCGGCGACGCCCATGCCCCCTCCCTGCCTCTCCTCTCCTCTCCTCTCCTCGCCCACTTTGTCGTTCCCCCCTCCCTTTCCGGATATCACCCTCTGGTTCCCGCGGCCATCGGTGGACCGTAGAATCACCAACTGCTGACACCTCACGCCTGCTGAGCTCAGGCCCAGCTCGCCGGGTCACGCGACCCCTGCCTCCATCACAACTCACAGGCCGGAACTGGAGCCAGGGACAGACGGGGGGGGGGGGGGGGGGGGGGGGGGGGGGGGGGGGGGGGGGGGGGGGGGGGTGCTGAGATGCACTAACAGGCATTAAGATCCATACAGTGAAGGAAAGACAGGCAGGCAGGCAGATAGACAGGTGACAGTGACAACCGACTGACCAAGACTAATGGACAGCCAGGCATCAGAATCGACAGACAGCTGTCAGAATCAAGACAAAGAGACAGACAGGCATCACAGTCAAGAGACAGACAGGTGTCAGAGTAAATAACAAAGAGGTGGGACGCCACAGATGGACAGATGCACAAACACTGAGGTTCAGACAAGACAGTGTCCAGAAACATGACAGGCAGACAGGCGTCAGTGTCAACAGACTGACTGAGACAGACAGACAGACATCAGAATCAAGACAAAGAAACAGACAGTCATCAGTCCACATACAGACAAACAGGCATCAGAGTCAACAGGCAGACAGACAGGTGTCAGAGTAAACAGGGGGATGCCACAGACAGACAGAAACACAAACACTGAAGTCCAGACAAGCCAGTGTCCAGAAACGTGAGCGGCATACAGAGAAATGTCCAAAGTCCCAGACTGAGAGAGACAGACACAGAGGTGCCCAAAAAATTCACCATGGTAACATCAACCCATTTGCCCTATTGCACACTGGCTAGACAGATAAGTGTCATTTGATGTATCAATGCCTACTGACAACACATCATTTCTTCCCTTTATCTCCCCTAGACAGACACCAGGACACTCCAGGCCAAACAAATATAGCGTCATTAATTACCTTAAGCACAGGAGCACTGAGCTATTCCCATCTTCACAAACATAAACCGTTATATGTTTCCTTTATCCTTTCAACAAAGCCTCAGCTTTCACTGAAAGCACTGAAACTCTGCGGTTTGCCACTTTTAAAATGTCATTTATTCCCACAGCCTCAGGCAGCTGAAAACAGATACAGACCCAGGCTTTTTTCGTTAAGTCAGCAGGGGGTAAACGGGTGAAATAATATTGGATGACATTTATTTTGAAGCACACAAACACACTCAAGGAAGCGCGACGTCTCGTTCATTCAACAGGGGGCTGCCCTTTATCTCCAGATCTCGCTCTGATTGTCCCATAATCGGCTCCTCTGAGGAGAGGCGCTCGACAACTTCCTCAAAGGAGACTTTTAAGCAGAAACGAGGCTTGAGGACCGACACGCTGCTGGTAGAATGAATCGCGCACAGCATGATCTCGGGGCATTGAAAAAGGGGGAAAAAATGATGGCCGTGCTTCCAAGAGATGAAAAAATAAATCAGGCATTGCTATAAAATCAACAGGATGCAAATTTGAATAGAATTCCCTTCCTCTCATTCACAGTCATGTATTTAGCAGACAGTCTTATCCAAAGCGAGGACACATTACTGAGAGAAACCAGGGTCAGGCAGCTCTTGGAGCGACTCAGGTTAAGGACCCAAGTGTGACATCACTCTGCCGACCTCAGGATTTGAACAGACGACCTTCTGGTCAGAGGCTGAGAGTTCAAATGCGCAGAGCCATACACCAACCCCTGGTGCCACGGGCTTGGCCAAAACGGGCTCCTTCAGCCTCAGTGAGGTTCCGGCTCAGTCGGGTACAGGGGGGCTGTTTGGCTCAGCAAAACGGATTAAGCACAGAAACACAGGCACTAAGGCAGAACCGGCACACGGGGAAGCGGTCACAAGAGTGGGTAGGGGGTGGGGGTGTGGATGGGTTGGGCGGGGGCAGGAGAAAGGGCCTTGATTCAGTCAGCTGAGAAGCTGCATTTTTAGACCAGTCTCAACCGGGTCTTCAGAGACCCAAAGATGGTCCACGCTTTTGTTGCCTGCCAGCTCCCAGACTTGATTGAGAAACAATGTTTTAGACTCTTATGCCTAGCTTTGTGTACACACTGTACTCTGGTAATCTCTCCCCACCCTATGATTTGGAAAAGCAGGTGACCAAGCCAGCTTACTGCTACTTTCTACTAGGCTTGGGAGGTATTGCAGTAATACGATTTCAGGTACTCTGCGGTTTTTTGGGTATACTGCAGTATTTTGAAATCTTGGCGACAAAATACCCGCACCCTGCCTTCCAAGCAAATTCTATTGGCAAGATTGCAAAATACTGGAATAGTGTTGTTTCCGTAAATATTGTAAAAAATACCATGGTGTAATGTCTGGAAGGTATAAGGGTATGAAAATTAGACACTGCTTAAGTCTACTTTCCAATACGTTACACTGTTTCACACAGAAATGATTAGAGGAAACGTTGTTAAACAACAGATATTTAAGCTGCCGTCAAAACAGTCCTTAACAGACCTAAGACTGACTTCCAGTTATACCTCGTCTCTGAATTCTTTTCACACTAGGCAGAACCCCCACATGCCCCCCAGCTGCAAGCCCAGAACTGGGACTCACTTTTCTGCTTGCAGCTCATTGGTTTTCACGATCAGGTCCTGTGTCTGGTCCTTGGCCGCCTGCATTGGGAAACCCAGGCAGAGATATCAATCAGAGCCAATCAGAACCAACCGAAGGCCACTCACTCCAACTGAGGCACAAATACACAACCACTCAGAACAGTGCGTAAAAAAAAGTGTATTATCACATAGTGGAACATTTACCTAAACAACTCAAAATGTCAATCTGTCACAAGAGCATAACAGAATTACTTTTTTTCCCCAAGTGATCACATGGGCCACAAGAGTGATGACTGACTGACACCAAAAATAATCAAGGTGTTCCATGATGTATTGCTAGGCAATTGGGGGGGGGGGGGTGATATTTATCATTTTTATGGTAATAAGAGAGGATAAATGGAATATAAAATGACACAAAAATAAATGACTATGATGTTACCTTAAGCCGGTTGGTCATCTCCTCACAGCACGTGCTCATGGCCTGAACATCCTCCTGCACACCCTCAAGTTCCTAAGGGGGGACAAATGGACACAGTTTAAATGAATATTCTTTACTCATTAAATGTATTTGGGTGACTTTTTCAGTTAAAAAAACAAAAAAAAACATGAAAAGTCTCAAAAACAGAACCAATACAACTACCTGTATCTTACTATATCCAAGGTTTTTTTAAAAAATAATTTAACTTTATAAAAATGAGGGGTGTCCATTCTTAGAAGACAGGAAGCAGTGTTTTTCAACCCAGTCCTGAGGGACCCCCTGAGAATTTTTTTGCTCACCACAAAGTTCCTTGCATACCTGAACCAATCAACAAACAACACAGAAATCTTGGTACAAGTGTGCTGGGAGCTGGGAGGAAGTAAAATGCAGACTGTTGGGTTGAGAAACACTGCCCCAATGACTGTGTGGTGGTTATACAGTGTCCGCACCACATTCCTCCACAACATGTTTCATACACGACAAAGCATTATGATTAAGGTCTATATGAAGCTGGGCTCAGGCTGCCCGGTATTTATGGGATTTTTTGTTGCCAGTAATAAACGTGCGATAGCGCATTATCAGCTTACCTGCTTGACATCCTTAAATATCCGGACGAACTCCTCATTGATGGACAGGCTGCGTCTCTCGATGTCGCCGCGGAGGTTCCTGCGTGTCCGAAGCGTGTTCTCGGCGAAGAAGGCCGACAGCGCCTTTAAAGCTTCCAGCATCTCCTACGGCATGAAAACAGGCCAAAATAACTACATTATAATTAATCATAGAAATATGACAGGCTTGTTGTGGAGTAATATGTCATGCATGCGCAAACACTTTCGGCTACTTATTGCAAAATAGATCACTTTAGAGTCAAATTCGATATCAATATCTAGCGAATGTGCACTGAATTTAAGTATGAAGCAACTTGTTCATAAGAGTGCGTGGAAAAGACATGAACCTAAGATCAATGAAACTAATCTGAAAAAATAATTGTCCAACCGGCAATGTATGCTTAAAACTGCAAATTGTACAGTATTCTATTACTCCATATGGCTTCAGTATAATTAAGGTAACTACCTGCCTGTCGGATAGATACCGGATTCCGGCTCTCAGGACATTGACAACTGGAAGGCAGCTCTATACGCATTTCTTGTTAACTAACCTTGTCATTGTCCAGCCTGGTTTCCAGGATCTTATTGAGCTTCCTGGACAGGGGATTATTGGGTTGAGGTGCCGCATTGCCTCCACTCTGAATGAAATTAGACGTATCCGATGATACCTCTACTTTAGCGTCAGCCATCATCAACAGCTTCACACGTCACAGCAGAAAGTGTGTGTCCGTCTGAAATTCGAGTTCGTGGGGAAACATGCAGTGTTACATCAAGGTTCCCACCGCGACCAGGGAGTTGTTTAAAGCATCAGTAGCCTATTATTATCGATCACTGATAATTTCTTTCATTTTTACGATTCATATAACGTCATCCGCGTGCAACTGTCAGTTAAACTACAGTGAAAGCATCAAGAAGTGATTGCGTCCGTTTTGAATGGGAGTTCCTAGAGAAACATTTGGTAGGCTATTATAACAAGGTTCCCATCGTGCTAATTAAGGGAGCCGTTTGAAGCCCCTGAATTATATAAATCAGTGACAATCTCTGTTATTCTTACGATTCGTAATATTCCGTCCGTGTTCAGTTGTCTAGTTAAACTCTCATGATACAGGCTACTCTCATAATTCTGGGTTGAAGGCGAGCCACCGAGTCCAAATAATATATTGAAATTAAGTGGATGGAATAAATTTGATTTTTTTAAATTTTCTGTAACAAATCAACGTTATGTATATAGGCCTAATGTATAGAAATACATAGATAGTTATTGAAAAGGCTGCTTTCGTCGTTTAAAAAGGTTAAAGGTATACTAGGCTAAATAAAATATAATAGGCCTATTTGTAGTAGAAAATTCTTTTATGTGATGCTTACGTGAAACAAGACGTTTTGGTAAATTAAAATGGAAGTGACAAAATAGTGGGAAATAGCTTTTATAATGTATTATCATAAAACAGGAAGACCATTTGATTTTTAATATCCACGTAGGTTTTGATGGTATTTGGGGGCGCCACAAGGTTAAAGCTCCACAGGGTTATTTCTCATATTAAGATGTGAATAATTCAAAGCCCATGTCTCGTCAGTTTATTACTGAACAATTTTACCACCTATTATACAATCCACATAGAGCAATAATTTCTGGCCCATATAAATAAATCATCAAATAAACCATTATTCATCGCAGGTTCGAGGATTATTAATCATGCGACAGGAAGGTTTTAAGAACGGTAAGAAAGTAACTTCCATGCAGTTCCACTTTCAAAGCAAATACTCCAAAAATGTTTTTCATTAACGATGCATTAATTTTGGCGAACGTTGAGGGTTTCTAAGGTGAAAACACGATTTACACGGTTAGGCTACATTTATTTCCCAGTCTACGTTCCCAGTACACAGGCAGTTCGATGTTTTAAAAATTATAGCCTACTACAACGGGAAATAAACGGAAATTACCTAAAAATTGCTGCTATTGGAGAAATTAGAATAAATGGAATAAAGTTGTATAGATTGCTTTCTGTGGTGGTGTATGTTCACATTTAAAGTGTGTTATTTGAATAGTAAATCATTGGTTCATGCAAATATTAAAATTAATTTCAAGTCTTCGCCAAATGATCCGCCTGCATGTTTTCGTGGGTGTGTCTCTATGCCAGTGAGGAGAGATACCGCGACCGCTAGTCCAGCCCAGTGGGTGGAGAGACTGGATGCAGGGTCCCCTCTTGATCCGACGGGCTCGCATGCTCAGGGCATCTTACTGTGGGCTGTCATCGCAGTAAGAAAACGCCTCGCAGACCGATCGCAATTAATTTTCCAGTATTCCTGTCCGATGAACCATAAGGGACGCCAAAGAGAACGCCTGACATTTCTTCGGATATATCGGTATCTTTTTCCTCGAATGGATCCATTATTACTTTAGATGGATTCCTGCAAAACTTTCTGTATATAATTTCAGTAGATCATTTTGCGATCTGAAAGTTTGTCGCGCTCCGTCTCCATTTAAACCAATGGGATAGCGTCCATCGCCATGTCTTGGAATATGTAAGTTTTGATATGTATAGGCTAATTTCATATTTACGTTTCCGTATAGTTTTCATAGACGTGTCTAACTCAGAAACGTTACGATCACAGTTGTCTATAGTATCTACAGCTGACTTGCATGGAATACCATTCCTGATATGCGTGAATGTTTCTCAGTTTAATTTTAATTTTTAATTTGCATCAGCTCGAGCATATTTAAATAGCTTCCGAAGAAAAAAATAAATAAATGAAATTCCTCAAACTTTATGTGGATACTTTGTTACTTTTGATATAACACTGTTTTATAGTCTACATTGTAGATTTTATTCTTTCACACATGCACAGCCTTAAGCTGTTTTTTAATGAGCATGATGATGTTAATTAGGTTGTTTGTTAATCTTTTGTACGCGGCTTGTTGTCTGCATTTGTCTGCTAACCTGTAACTCCTCACAATCCAGGTGACAGCGATTTGTCACTTGTCTTCGCAGGTTTCATCATACAGTAAACCTGAGAATGGATCTACCTTTCTAGCTACGTGGGCTTTAGATGTAAGACGTGCAGGAGATCGTTTTGATTAAGTGAAAGTTACGCTTCAGAATCGGCTCATCTTAACAAAGTTTGAGATCGGCGATGGCGTCCAGCCTGACTTCCGTCGGCATCGTATGGGCACTACTGTCCTTCGTGAGCGCCGTTGCTTCCTGCGTGGGCTTTTTCATGCCCTACTGGCTGCTGGGCTCGCAGATGGGCAAGCCGGTATCGTTCGGGACGTTCCGGCGCTGCTCGTACCCTGTGCGGGACGAAGAGCGGCAGGCGACGGTCATGCTGGAGCAGTGCGGGCGCTACGCTTCCTTCCAGGGCATCCCCAGCCTGGAGTGGCGTATCTGCACCGTGTTAACTGGGGTGGGCTGTGGCCTCCTGCTCCTCGTCGCCCTCACCGCCCTGATGGGCTGCTGCATCTCCGACCTCATCTCCTGCAGCATCGGTCGCGTGGCCGGGGGCATCCAGTTTGTGGGGGGTGAGTCCACTGCCAGGCAGTTATACTTTCTTCCAAATAGGTCTTCACTTCTCCCCTTAATCGTTTCGTTTTCCTTCTTAGTTTTAACGTCAGCCCGCAGGTGAACTGACTTACTTTTTATGTAATTAGAAAACGATAAAAAAAAAACATGAACAGAATAAATGTGAACACACCCTGTAATTTTGAAGGAGCAGAGCTGTGTTCCTCTACCTTATATGTATGTATCTCTACAGTATACAGTATGTTTAGATGATATAGGTACCTTATTAGTGTCTCCCACCTCACCCCCATGCTGTAGGAATTCCAGAGCCGCCCCCCCATCAGATTTTATCCACAAAAAGCTGCCTGGCTGTAGCAGAGAGCATTCTCTAAAGACTACCTCCTAACTCATCTTCTTCTGCCTGGCCCTCTCCCTTCACATTGACCTCTCTTCCCCAGGCAATGAGAGCAGCTTTGACGGGGTTGGGGGGGGGGCTTCCATTTATCTTCATTTGTTGGCCAATGTTTTCACCCCGGTGGTGCTGCAGGGCAAGCAGATTTGTGTAGTGCACAAAATTTCTGAGGGTTTTGGAGTCATGGTTTGTGCAGCAGAGGCTTATAAACTTTAGCTCCATGATCTGAGACTCCATGATTGGCCAGTCAGGGTAAGGAATTCTGGAACAGGAAGGAACTGTGTGTGAATGGCTGCACATGATGCTCTCTTGCTGCTGAGGTTTGCTTAAGACTCATATTTTGTTTTGATTACTAGGTCTGTTCTTTTTCTTGTATGTAACTGGTGTAACAAACAAGAGGGATGCCAGCATCAGCCTGCAGAAAACAGCAATTTTGCATAGTTATCTTTTTTGTTTTTGTTTACAACTGAGGAATTGTACATTATTGATTTCCAATTTCCAGTATGCAAACTGTGTAAAACTAAGTATGAGAGCAGTGTGCATTGTGTGTGTCGATTTATGCTACAGTTTGTAATGCACCCTACAGATTAACTAAGGAGCCAATGAGCAGCTGAGGAGGAAAAGTGATTATTTGGTGGCTGTTGAAAATGTTAGCAGACACTTTTATCCAAGTATACAGTTTGAGAAAGTATGGTGGGACAATCTATGGAATAGTTGGGGTTTAGAGTTTTGCTCAAGGGTGAAATCGTTCTGCCGACCGTGGGATTAGAACCAGCCACCTTCCAAGCAAGAATATAGCATCCTAGCTGGGCGAGCAACACACCGCTAAGGACAATGTGATCTTATTCTTGAATATATCTTCCGTGGTGCTTTTATATAAGTATTCATTTAAAAACACAGCCTGCCCTTCTACCCAGTACAAACGGCCTCGTCTTCGTACCACTTCAACAGATCAGGGAGAGAGAGGAAACTAGAAGGAGAGAGCCAAGAGAGGCAGAAAGTGCAGGAGGGGAGAGCTGCTGTCCTCAGGCATTGTGGCTCCTGCTTCCTCCATTGTCCCGCCGTAATGAAGAGCGTCTGGCTCACAGAGGCCCACGAACAAACGGGCTACCAGCGATGAAAGCCCTTCCCTGTTTCTGCCACTCTTTCACATCTCCCTCCCTCTTTTTCGGTAGATAATGAGTCAGCTTTCCCCTATTTCAGTTGGATACAATCGTTTGATTAAAAGGAATTGGTAATATGAGACCCCGACAGGAGCAGAAAGGAGGCCCCCTGGTGGTTCCTGTGACAACCACCAGCGGCAAGGTCAGGAACCACAGTATGGAGAATGTATCACTGGAGATGTCTTGTCAAGATGCCACTGCCGGTCCCTTAAAGATGGATTGGTGCATTCTAGTCTATTACTGCATAGATATTCCACTGCAGCGGTGGGGCTGAACTGGACATGTCCACTGGGGTTTGCCAGCATGGCATGTTAATGAGGCTGGCGATAAACTGGCGCATGTGCGCGACATTCAGGCAGGGGGCCCCGCTGAGCCGCAGCCGGATTCCCTCTCAGAGGCTCCGCCTTTCATCTCGGCAGAATTAGTTATAGCCGAGTTGCTGGAAAAGAGGAGGTTTTCAATTAGTGTTCTGATACTTAATTAAAATCGTGGGGGGTGGGAATCATATAAAGAACGAATCCTGCAGAGTGTGCAGAATGAATCCATGGATGTCATAAAATGCAGAAAAAGCAGGCCACTGGACATGTACAGGGTGTCTCACTGTGTGAAGTGCCAGAGAAGGTGCCGGAATGTCTGAGGGCAGATGAGGAATATTTATGCGAGACCCAATGTTCATGATGTGCATGCAGATTTGGCCATTTTTTATGTTTGTGTAACACTTAGACTATAGATACAAAATGAGCCTTTAATAAGTAAACAGGACTGCATCAATAATTCTGTGCCGTCTTCTTAATATTATTTTTGTCAAAATTCCCAGATGAAGCCCAAAAAAATGTAGCCTAGTGTTTAATGCTGCATTTTCTATATGTTTATTTTATGTTAAATCTTATATCCCTTCCACTTGGAAGTAGAAAAGCAGTAACAGAGATCGATGTATTGATGACATTAAGCTCCAAGCATTGTAATGCCTTTATTCAACCCATAATTGATTGTGCACTAGCAATGACAAACAGAAATATCAGTAACAGTTAAGATAAGAAGTATTTCCTATCTGAGCACAGATCTATGATAGAACTATATAGCATAGATCTAGAGTAGCTCAATTTTACCTCAAATGGTAACCTTCCTTCTCCTCCATTTATACTTGCTAAGGTTCCAGGGATTTTTCTTACCTGCTGTGTGCTTGGGAAAAAAATGGAGTCTATAATAATTTGTTTTGTGTTTTACTCAACATATAGCTCAAGTTTACCTCAAATATTAACCTTCCTTCACCTTCTGCCAAACAAAATGCCTCACACGTCCCATTAGAAGAGAATAATGATCTGGGAGATGAGTGGGCCAAGACGTGGTCCATCAGTTGATGTTTCTGCACATTTAGGTAGGGAAAAGAGGAGCTTGTGGTGGCAGACAGAGGGGGAGGCATATTTTGGCTCTGGTTTGGAAAGCAGAAGGAGGAACTGGACCGAAACAGCTTGGCAGGTAAAAGTCCCCTGCTGGACTCCTGTCTGGCACCGGTAAGGGAAGCGGCGGAGAGATGGAGACGGGGCTCTGGTGTCCTTCTATCCCATGATTCATCCTTGTGTTTCTTAAAGGGAAACAGCAAGTTGAAAATCCGGATCAGCTTTCGCTCACAACTGCGAGCCGTCACAGCAGTCAAAGCAAAGAGTCAAACAGATGTGGAGGCCAAAGCAGGTTCTGAGCGCTGGACAGACCTCCTCACACCAACACGGCGGGGCGTTGGGGCGTGTCCTGGACATCTGCCATTGATTTATGCATGTCTGTCATTATGGGATAGGCTGTCAAGGTCGCATTGCAACACGAGAGCCCAGCTGCTCGTTAAATAATCCACATCACCCGGCCGCTACGGGATTGCATGTCGTTGATCTTGATGTTGCAGCTAATGGGCTGCTGGACTCTTAGACCAGGGGCAGGAAGTGAGCCTGGTCACCATATAACCCAGCCTCCAGTGGACCAGTTCATACCAGTTACCCTTACAAGGTCATACTGGACAGCAGATACTTTAATTGCTTTACGTACCCTATAGACAGATATTAGAGGTTTTAGAACCATTAATACTTCAATATTAGTTTAAATACTAGAACTCGTGGCCATAGGTGGAAATTAGCGGGAGAACATTTTAAAATGAATTTGAGGAAGCACTTCTTTACACAGCGTGTAGTTAGAGTATGGAATAGTCTTCCTGCTAGTGTATTGGAAGCTAAAACCCTGGGTTCCTTTAAATCAGAGCTAGATAAGATTTTAACAACTATGAGCTATTAGTTGAGTTCTCCCCAAACGAGCTTGATGGGCCGAATGGCCTCCTCTCGTTTGTAAATTTCTTATGTTCTTATTACAGAAAGATCCTTAAATACCTGACTGTGGATAATAGCGAGTATGAGAAAGAGAAGCTTTCTGCAACCTCCCTTCACCTCTCACTTATTGATCTAGAAGTTTCCAGAGTCAGCAGTTGAAGCTTTAAAAGCTGACCTTGACCATGCCAGACCTGTTAATGTGTGTCGGCATGGAAAACCAGGATCTTACTGTCATCGGAAATACTTCACTACACCTTACTGCTTTGTTTTTGGCTCTATTTCAGTATTAAAAATGATGACAAGGTCACTGGTTTTAGATTTATTGTACAGTAGAGCATTTTTTTCACTCTAACGAATAATTAAAAAGTGTCTGTCATTCCAATTTGCCTGAAGCCTGGAAACACAGGGCACAGGGGACATACTGGATGGGAGACACGGTCCGTCACAGGGTACAGTCTGGGGGATTAGCCATGTCAGTTCATATTGTCGATTGGTTTGGGATTGCAGGTGGAGACGGAAATGTGTAAATGCCACACACTGAGTGCAGGCGGGTCGCTAACCCCCATCACTGAAGGTGTGAGATAACAGTCCTTCCCAGTCAGCCACACTTCTTTCTGAATCTTTTGTTTTTGTCACCCGCAAGTCTGAAGGGTATCCCTTTGTCAGTCATCATTTTTGCTGCCAGCATGAGTTTTGGATTGTATTTCACATTACAGCTAGTCAGAGCCGTTTCTCTTCCATAAAGAAAAACCGACACGACAGGGGAATCGGCAAAATGAGGTCCATTTGTACCGGAGAGCAATTTCATCAGACAGACTAATGTCCACATTAACATTTCCCATCGCATTTCAGCTGCTTTTTTTTCCCCCGCATCTGTTTAGTAATGAGATGCAAGATGAATGAGGCCCATCTGCGCAGATTTAAGGAGGAGGATAACAGAATGAAGCGTTTGTCTTGATGTGGGACAGATTTGTTCTCTGCCTGTTTTGATGCCTTACCTGAATGGAAAGTCTCTCAATCACCTGGGCATTGTGTTTTAGATAAAAGACACACTTTGCCTTATTAAGCATTTTAGTATGATTAGAGGTGCTGGAAATGACAATATGCCTTTATTGTCAGAGTTCTCTCCTGGT